ATGTAACAAAGATATCGTGAAGATGTGTACAAAATCTGAAATGAAAGCGCCTCATATTATATTGGTGTGATTCGGCTTCAGACCGTATCATCTACGGAATTGTAATTACCGAAAAACCTGTTGATGAAATGAGGAATCCTTGAATTTCTGTGGTAGTAAAAACCACATGTAATTGTTGGCAGATAAAAGATAGAAATATCTAGATGCAGAACAGAAAATACATGCCTCGGTTATTACCAAAATAAACAAAACAATAGACGAAATATTTGGTATCTTTTCTGATATCTATAACGGTTGTAGCGTTGCAGAGGAACTAAAAACAGTAAGCGAAATAAAAAGAATTGTTAGAGATCGGACCTCGCAGAGAGCATATCCCGTCGAAATGGCCTTAAAGAAAGCACCACTATGATTACATATACCTATTACGTATAATACATGTTTACGTATTTTAGACTAGGAAAATGATGTAAATGTTTTTGAACTAATTTTGAATTTTGAAATGTTGAGCTATATTGAATATATTTCTTCGTCTTAATCCCACAAATTCTTAAACATACACCCCAGAAACAATGAAGTTCAGATTGTACACTAAAACTGCTAATTTCGAATTTATGACATTTCGATTTCATTTCTATTCAAGTATGCTCTCAACAGATATAAATGAGAGTTCAAACCAGAGTTTCTACCAAATCAGGAAATTGCCTATAACATGAATGTATATCAAACTATGTCATCATATAACAACATAATCTCAGCTCATGTGTATGAAACCGACCGATTGAAAGAAAAAATTCTATTTATTCTAATAAAGAAATGTAAATGTACATTAAAAAGCATATTATTTACATTAAACAGTATTCCTATATTATATGCCCATATAATCATCACCTGTATAACATGTGTGTTTAGTAATACCATTATCAGTATTTATTACAAATAATAACCTTTATTAAAATAATGTTCTTTAAACCGTCAGTATTTCCGAGTGTGTAAAACTTGCCTTTCAACACACGAAAGACTAGATTGAAAGCATATTCGTACTACCGTTCTACACCCCAAAACGTTCTACTCATTTCTCGAGTCTCTTTTAACAAGTGATGATTGTGTGTGTTTTTAATGATAACGGAATAAGAATCATAAATAAATATCCTATTATAGTCTGTATGGAAGAACATCGTTGCCACAATTCATGCTTTCAATTGTATTTTAGAGTTTGCAAATAACTTGTGATTCGGCACCAATCAAGATCAACTTATTATTCACATTTTAAACCCCCTCGTTCTTTCTTATCTTGTCGTTGCGAGGTTTTAATTTCGGTTGGTGAAAAATTTGTTACTTAGGAACTAAAAGAGTTCCATCTTCAAAGGTATTGCCTAATACAAATTAATGCACGCCCTCGTGTATGCCAAAATTACCATGTGAACCGGGTGAAATAAGATTGTATAAATCACGTAGATTTTGGGCTACTATTGTTAACAAGATAATGCTGTTGAAAGAAAAATAATTTTTAAACTTTTGGTGCGACCATAAAAAATATCCAAATCGTCGCCAATGTCGAGAATAATTTAGGCCATAATTGTCTTCCATAGTATCATCACAAGACGCAATTCAACCATTTCCACATGTTAACAAAACTAGTTATCATTTTATATAAATCAACTGAACATATAGATCAATTCTTGACCATTGTGGATATTGGGTACAGTTAACCTATACATATGTAATACATTATGTTAGCTTCGTTAATCGTTTTGATGATCCCACCAAACGTTCTCGTCATACTGTTTTAATATCATCTTACCTCACGATTTCGGTGCGTCTGAGATGGCCAAAATGACACACGCTCTATTTTGCCATCAAATAATGGCTTAATTAGTTTTTTTTTTTAATTTGGGGAAACATAATGATGTATGTGTCAAGGGAGGAGGGCGGTTTTGCCTCAAAGAATGCCTAGTCTACCTAGTTAATCATTCTTTCATCGTACATCGTTTCACGTCAATGCTTCGATTACTTTGTATTTGTCGATAAATTTGAAAGCATATTACCATTAGGTGTGGGAATGCTGCAGGTGTTGAATGTTATTGTGCAAGCTATAATACAAATCAATAACCCGCTTCCTTTTGAAATAACAAATTGTATATACGTTCATAATCTTACACAAAAATGTCCGATCGTTTTCTGGAATGTCATTTCTGTTTCCACATAGTCATAGGCAATTTTCTCATTACTGGTTTACAATAGGTCCCACAAAAATAAAAAAAAAAACAGGGAATAGCCCAAACATACATCATATCTGAAAATAACCAAACAGAATACGACTGTTTTTAATTCCTGAAATTCTTGGAGAACCATTCTACTAATGTTACTATATAAATATAAAAACTATGGGAATGGTACTAACTGTAATATGTCATTCTTCTTATCTGCCCACGCAAACTTTCCCATTATGCTTTCGGCCACAATCTACAATGTCCAGGGTCACCACCTAGATAAACTTGTCTAATTTCCTGTTCTATAAGACCACCCTAAACAGTAATTTAAAGGGAGACTACGGTTTCGATGGTAGACTATTTTTTAACCTTATAGACACACCAAGAGCGCTTATAATTTCGACTCGGTATTCTTCCCCTCCTTCCTATATTCTTGTTTTTGACTTCCATGTCAGTCTGTTTACTTTACCTATTCGTACAATTTTACCCCAATTTCAAAAACTAATCGCATTTAATATTCGAAACGATTGAAAAGTATAGAAAATAGAATTTTATTCTTTCGGAACCACTGATACCATCTTGCGAAATATTATAGGAAAAAAAATGAAATTCCTGCGATATTTGTACATTTCTAGTACTTCTGAAGACTATTTTCATATATTCAGGACCCAAATATACCCTCGAAAATGGTGAACTTGTCCCTTTAACAAATGAAATTTGGCCCTGCCTTTAGCAATCAAATTATTTCAAGCAAATATGAAAAATAAAGGTTTTGAATTTTAATCTGTTCATTTTTTAGTATAAAAATATTCTACTTGAAAATTTCACACGATGGAAGTCTACATTCATTTACCCCTCTTACATAATTTAGTTCATCAAAAATATTTTTTCACAACTGAAAGACTATTTATTTAGTCAAAATATGTTTCATTTGAATACAGTTGACTATTTACTTAGATCGCACACATAGTTCGTTGAAGAGGTGTGATTTTTAATTTGATTTTTAAAATTTGTAACAAAATATATTCTATATTTGATTGCCTTCACTTAGAACGTTGTAGACCTATACACTGGACACATTAAAGATAGATTCCCCTTTATAATTTTTTGTGTACTATTACTTATACCCTTAGATATATTGAAGACTCAATTGGAAGGCGCAATGTGCTGTGTAGAATATGCTTGGTTTACTTAAATTTACTAAATTTTGGTATTTATTTGAACGATCTATTTCGGATGAGGTTTTATCAAACTGAAATTCAGCTATTATACCCGGTATAAAAAGGCGAACTTATAAACCAAAAATACTTGGTTTTCAAGCTGATAGAGCCCAAGATCGTCCAAATAAGTAATGACTGACTGAAAGACTAAAAGCTGGCAAATTCATTTGGAAATTTACTGAATGGGTCCCACCTAAAAATGAAACTGCTCTCAATAGATACTTCTCGCTTCATTTAGATTTTTTTTATGGGTATGCCATCTTTAGATAAAAGCGCATTGATGTGAAAAATATTCAATGTACCACATCACCTTTATGTGAACAAGATTACTGCGGTAGGTTTTGTAAAGAAAGGTTACATTATAATGTATTATTTTCACGTTAACTTACTCAATCGCTTAATACTTTCATTCTTATAAAGTTTCAGGCGTCCAGTAAACCAATGAAAATCGACCATTTTTGACCTATTGTAAGGTGGTTGTCTATTGGCCAAGACATAACCTCGTTTTCAATTTTCGTACCTCGGCAATTCATCCTGAACGCAGACGAGAAAATACAAAAATTATAAAAAAAAAAATTGTTCGACCTTTCTCCCCATATCGTGTAATTTGGTTTGACTCACCGACACAGTCAAAATCTTATTCATTTTCAATCAACAAGGTTGGATAGTAAAAAAGTGTACGACGCGTGCTGGGTAGATTTATTCTCAACAGACGGCTTGAAGCAGACGATCTTTCTCAATTTCCATTACAACCTGTTAACAGAATATTGTCAATGTCGTTAAAATGTTTTATACCGTGTCGTTTGTGGCTTTTTTATTTCATCTATTCATAATTTTTTGTTGTGCCGAACATGCGAAAATTGCAAAGAATTTTGTGAGTGTGTCTCTTAACAAGTACGGCCATAGAGAACTTCGGATAGCTTATCACCACGTGTTTGTCTTGGAGACTTCTGCCTTTTGGAATCGACCGGATGATGTAATTCTTCGGCAGGTGACCGATGGAAAAAGATTTGTACAAAGTGTTTTTCAAAATGGAAAGTTAGTTGATTGTGAATACACCAAAAATTCCCAATCGATTTTATTTCTTATTGACGAATTTTTAAAAGAAAAACATAATTTTATGAACTATAAAAATACTAATGTGTTTCATGCTTATGAATCCACTGCTATCTCGATCAAAACAGGCGCTTTTAAATCAATTCAGAATAAAAATGTGTTGGGCAAATTCCGCCCCTATGTTGATGTGAAAAAACAAGCAAAGTTGTGTCATATTTTATTTAGAGTGAATTTTAAACATGAATTTGAAACAAAGAACAAAGCAAATGGCATTTTTCGAAACAAGTCAGTGAGCAGTTCACCAGGTGTTCATAATGACTCACAAGATAGTGACTTAGTTCATAGTGATGAACATAGTGACAATGATCATAGTGGCAAAAATCAGAATATCCATGTCAACCATGCCGATTTCATTGGCGGTTCACCCCATAAAACATATTCTAAATTGCCACCTTTACGATTTAAAAGAGATACGTCAACGTCATCAGGACGTTCTAAACGAGGACTTTTCTCGGGATGGTTGATATTTCCAGGAACTAAATGGTGTGGAACCGGGGATATTGCTGAAAATTACGATGATCTGGGTTATGATGAGAGTACAGATATGTGTTGCCGAAAGCACGATAACTGCCCGCACTTGATAAATCGATTTTCGTGGAAATATAATATGTTTAACTACCATTTCCATACGATGAGTATGTGTGTTTGTGACAATAGGTATGTATATTTAACTTATGTTTTTATTGTGTTTTTATGAGTGAAGTTGATATATGTAGTCAGTAGAAATAGCCAGAAGATAAGTTTTTATGGACAGTTTTAAAACCCTCAAGACTTATTCTTATTATTACATAGTTAGCCGTTTATTTATTCTCTACCTACAAAACGTGAGGTTAATAACATTATAACTTTCCGTATTCTTTATAATAATACCTCACAACGATTAGTTCGTATACACGTCAAAGCTTATCGGCGCAACTCTTACGACAGGACAGTTTTACCCCTCCCCCCCCCCCTTAACAATCAAGCCTGACTTTACGAACCCATGTTTGGAGGTCTTTAGTACCTTCCAAAACAATTTTGAGAAGAAGACGCCCAGTGGTGATAAAAAGTTCTGTGACATATTCTTTTAAAGAAGTTCACACAAAATCCACCACGACACAAATATACTGTTTGATGATATAAGTTGTTTGTTTTATAGTTTTTATCAAGTTAAAGTGGCGATGTCAATTGCTGTTTCAATATTCTTCAAACACTTTTCACGAATAATGAGATATTCAAGCATTTTGGCCCGTATCGGTATTTTCAGAGTCATTGGCCGTGAAAAAAGTACTGATGCTTAAATTTGATTATGGGTCGTGTAATATGTGAGCTAGTGTCTTTAGTTGGGTCATGGATTCTTGATGACGGTTTTTGAGCTATAACCGATCTGATATGAATTTAATGAACATGGTTGCAATTGCATTGCACCAGAAGTTTTCTGACAAAAACTAGATTCAGATTCAAAACGTCATCTTTGAACTCTCTCCCTTTGCTTTCTATCATATTTTTATAACACGCGTTCTAACGGCAAGCCGTACTGCAAATTGACAAGCGCTTATTATAAGCTGTCGACGCGTCTTATTTCGGATGAAATATCGCCACCAGAACACCTGTCCAAGGAGGTTAACTTTCCAATGTAGGCATGAGCAAAGTAAGCAAATTGGATGTTCTCGGGAACCTTTCTGATGTAGAAAGTCATGCCGAATACACTTGATTTTTGTTGCAGAAGCAATTATGGAAACCTACCATCCACAACCATATTTCTTGACGATATAAAAAGCGCTATAACAATATGCTTCTTGAAGGCAGGGCTGGATTTGATTAAGACTCCGGATATTTCGGATTATTAATTCCACCTCTTGAGTTAGTCTAGACAAAGTAATGTCCAATAAGTAAAGTGTTGGAATGTAAACTTTGATTATATATTACCTAACGGATTACTAGCTATTGATATAGACTAGAGTCTAGTTTGAAGATGATATTACCATAATTTATGATAGTCTTATTACAAATACTGTTTGACCACGGATTAAACTTTACTCATAAATCTCCTCGCCAGCTTAATCTTTAGTCTAAAGTTGACCACTGGGTTTACGTAGAAAATTTACTGTAATCCTTTTTAATGTGGACACCTAGACAGTCTGGGTACTTGTATCATTAAATCACTTCTGACTCAAGTACCGGTACTGTACAGTGTAAAGTATGTGCTACAGAAGTTACCATAATGATCAAATGTTTTGGTGGTAACTAGCCGGTCACCGTGGTTTCAGAATTGTACTTGCTACTTACTTTTATGTGAAATAAAATGTCATACTTTTAATGGTACAGGTCGTTTAATGTCATCAATGGTTTGATTAAAATCCGAAACAAAGATAAAAATCAAAATGTGGCTCACTTTAAAATGTAATTTCTAGAAACTAGTAGATATTCTATTATAAATGTTACAAATTTGAAAATATTATATTGAAAATTTCGAAGTAACAGACAACATTCGATTCAGAGATCACTGTGATCAAAGATGATGCTTTTATAAAATCAAAAAGCCATTATATATACAAATATTCGCAGTTGACCATGTTCCAGCTTGCAAATCCAGGTAAGATGATGCAAGGTTACTGGATATCAGTCGTTCGATTTGTCCTGCCTATCGATTATATCAACGTTCCAATGTGCGTCAGGACTATGAATACGAATGGCTGATGCATGTATATCCAGTAAAAATTCTTACCCTCCAATTTTGTCTTAAGTTTGCTTTTCTCTTGTAAATTTTTACGATTACGAGTAACTCTAATCTTAAGATTTTTTTTTAGGCCAGTTTCTAGTAGTCGTATCAAACCACCCATGATCGCATTGAAAATGTCAGAAAAATGTACATTATGTCAACTTTCACATTTGATAAGGTCTTTGATTATCTGAACTGGAATCAGATTACTTTATATCGGGGTTGGAAGTCAGTAGCTTATCCCTGACTTTTGATATTTACTTCTGGTATTTTTTATAACAGTTGATACTTCTTGAAACTGACACAATTTACGTGCAAAGGTGGTTTCGGTGGTGTTAAAGGAATTGTAAAGAGGTTTAGTAAAAATGTTTATGTATATCAGGGACATTGAGCATCAATTTGCAAATTTCCGTAAAACATAAGTGTTTGATGAGGGTCACTAATCGGGAAGCTTTATCACATAGGACCCAGAAGAGTGACATCATAAAATACTTAGTTTTAGTTACATTGCAGGAACCACAGACGTCTGATTGAAAATTGGAATGGTGCAAATTGATGCTATTAGTGTCCGCGATGCACAAAAAAGTACTTTTTATAATCCTTTTGAATTAGCTGCAGTGGTAAATATACAATAGAACTCAGTTGACGTTATCCTAAATTCAAGTAGGCCCCTTATAGAACACTTGGTCCAAGAAAGCATTGATAGCAAGATTGCCTTAACGATAACTTTAGCTGCACCAGGTGCACTAGAAGTGGGTCTTTTAATACTTGTTTGTGTGCCTTATGAGAATCTAATAACTAGGAACGTCAAAGCGTTTAATTGGAGAAACGTATTTTATGACGATAAATTTCCATAGACGATTGGACGTTGGCATGATTTCTCGTATTTTGTGGAATCACTGTGGTATCAAAATTAGACGTTATAAAATATTTGCACTGTATTACTTGGTAGGGGAAATTGCCTCCTATTTCACGCTAATGATTTACCACGGCAGTTTTGCAATCTGCTATAATACCAATACCAATGTTACATTGTGTATATCTAACAGGAATATTTACAAATTCCATAGCATATGATAAGAACAATACGAGTAACAAGTCGTAATATATTATATGAAATGGTACTAATAAATCTATTTTGGGATTCCTGACTTTTTGTGACAGACTCTGAACATGAGTAGTTTACAACAGAATGTTCGAGATCATGTCACTAGATCGCACAAAATAATTAGTTTCATTTTAAACTGGTTTATGCTTAAATATTTGTATCAGCCTTTAATGTTGATTTTATACATGTTTTCCAAAATATCTCGATATATAGGCAACATGTCTGGCAAAAACATTTTGTACTGCAATGTATCAGAAAGTTTCGATGTTCTCAGTTAGGTTAGCAGATTTACCTTCAGGTACGATGTTCAAGTTGTAATGATAAGGTTCAGGTTACGCCATACTGAGAATTAGTGGTAATTAAATGGTCATGGTCGGATCACATTGTCAAGAGATTAATGTTTCCTTAGTCCAACAAACTTCCAATGATAAAGAATAAGGTGTAATATTGCCTTTGTAATCATAGTTCCTTAGAATATCCATTACATCGATGATGTTTCGCGTCAAATATATCTTCAATTGTGGAGAAAGAAATGTCTATCATGGAGATTAACAAGCTCGAGCAGGAATGGTCGGAACGATGTAATTGTATTTTTTATTATCATCCTAAATGACGTCACCATGTCGATATTGTCAAGATATTTATGCTTCCTTAGTCCAAACTTTAAGTTTCCAATGTTAAAGTATATTAATAAGGTGTAACATTGACCAAATAATCATAGTTCTGATTCGAAATGAAGTAGTCTACCTTTAAATTCAACATTATTTTTATTATAGACGTACAATATAAACTTTAAAATAGGTATTTGATCCTTGAAGTAAATGGGATTTGTACCTAACTCTTTTAATCCACAAGAAGTTTTTTAATGTAGCCTTTTGACACGACGTTTTTTACACTCAAGTGCCTTCTGATAAAGAGACGTCTTATTAAGTGGTTGTCGACTTGAATTGAGTTGCACAATTTTTGATTAAAGAGGACAGAATAGTTTGTGTAGTGATTTCAAGTTTTTATTACCACACCTAAACAAGGGCAAACATATTACATATTACTATTTAAACTATGAAAGTTAAAGGCAATAGAGAGAAGGATTGATGTTTTTGCCAACATTTAAGTTTCAGCTAATGGCCCGTTTAACTTTTTATAGAACATCAAACGCCAAGGTACAAAGAATTTCTTTACTGATGGACTAAGTAGTAATATTTTTAATTACAAAAGTGGTCGTTTAAATCTTGACTTGAAAATAACCTGGGACCTGCGGTGGCTCATTGAGTTAGATGCTTGTCCTATAACTTGAAGGCTAACGTAGCAATCCCGGTATCGGTCGAGATAATACCTTCGGAATTTCCAAACCAGGTTTCCCCCTGTCGTTGCATAATGCAGGTCATAGGAGCTGACATAATTAACCGAGGACACGTCAAATATCCGTCGCTAATGCCACTGTCTGTCCTGACTGTCCTCTGATTGCACAGTGTTTCCCAATCGTCCTGCATAAGTAGAACATAAAACTCCATTCCAATCATTTCATTTGAAAACGTTCTCAGTACTGTATGGAATAGGGGTCAAAAGTCACCGAAAACAAACAAATGAAAAGTTTAAATCCATATATACGAATAATACGTATTTCATTTTCGGAAGGGGAAAGGCACAGTTCGACCTTTAATGCACCCATTCACCACTTCCATATTTTCAATCAACGGAAACAGTGTATTGTTAATGCAACTTATAAACTTTCCGCTTTTTTTCTTTGATCTATGATGTCTAATCTCGAATTGAGTATGACTTTAAAAGTTTTACGATAAAAAGCTACAATAGGGAGTTTAATACTATATATTGGGATGATTATTTTTC